TTGTCAGCATGCTAAAATTCTGCTTAAAGCACTACACGATGAAGTCTAGGGATAATTGTCTGCCATCTTGTGTGAATGTGAAATTGTGTCATAGAAGAGATTCTAGATATCAGGGTTCAGATAAATTTTGGCTTGCATACTTGCCTGAATGGTTTTCTAAGCTTAGCATCTGTAACCATGATAGAATGACTTCTTATGCCTACTTCTTTTGGACAATATTTTGATCCAATGCAACCTGCAGATTAGCAGCCGCAATTTGGACAGGGTTCGTAAATTGAAGAGTGCAATGACAAGGTTGACTGCTCGCGTACAAAAGGTATATAATCTCCCTGTAGGGTGTGAATAATTACATCGTAGTTCATGTCTTATGAGAGTTAGTGAACTTTAATGCAATCACCACAAGATGCTATTTCTGTCACATTAGTGTGTGTTGAAGATGAGAGAGTAGTTATACTCAATGCCACCCACTGTCCTCATTCTATTTTCTAAGCATTACATTATAAGATAAGATGTTTGATTCATGAAAGTAACATTGTTTAGATGACTAATAAGTTTGCTAGATGCATTTGAGCACTCATACATATGTATAATATTTAACTTCCTTGGTCAATTGTTAGATGAGAAATGAATGGTTGAGGTGCATCCACTGTACTTCTTGGTCATCCATATCTGACAAGTAGATGTTTTGTGGCAAAGTTACGTTGTTAGTATAGCTTTTTCTAAAGTTCTGATAACAATAAGTCGTTTTTTGTTTGGGTTATTCAAAAGGACATGGATGGAATTTAGTTAAAATTTAACGGTAATGGTGTAAATTAATACATTTTAAATAGAAACTTCCTGCACAATCTTTTTTAATATATATTTTTTCAATAAAACTAGAAACAGCTTCAAATTTTAGCCTTTCAAATATGCATATTTCAGCTTCTGTGGGGGCACAAAATTACTTTTAAGAGTCAACGCCTAAAACACTGGCTTCACAGAAGCCCTCTTCGGGTGCCCCAAGAGCTGTGCTGTGTGGGCGCTAAAGCTAGCAATTAGGTTTTCTTCATACTTGCAGTCTAAATTAGTATCATTATGAATGCACTTTCTTTTTATGTCTGTAAGACATAGTCTTCTGCTGTGTATCTCATATTGAATTTGCAGCCTTATGCTATCCAAACTTGTGGTATGGAGTTGAGATGAGACAAACTTTCCCAGTCAGAGTTTAATTAAAGAAAACATTAGTTTCCTCTTTACTACTGTTAATCATGGTAATAAGTAATCCTGTATTACTTGTTGCAGGTAAGGGATGAGCTTGAACAGCTGTTGGATGATGACGATGATATGGCTGACCTTTACTTGTCAAGAAAGTTGGCTGGTGCATCTTCACCAGTTAGTGTCTCTGGTCCTCCCAATTGGTATCCTGCCTCCCCTACCATAGGCTCAAAAATATCTCGGGCAAGTAGAGCAAGCATTGCCACTGTTCGTGGAGATGAGAATGATGTTGAGGAACTTGAAATGCTACTTGAGGTATAACATTGGCATACTTTTTCTGTCTTGTTTTAGTGAAGCTGTGTATATACTAATCTGCTAATAATACCTCTGCAGGCTTATTTTATGCAGATTGATGGCACCTTGAACAAATTAGCTACGGTATGTGCTGTTTTAGATGCGTACTTATCTTTCTCTCTGGCTTACAAGGAGAATTGAACCTAGGACCTAGCCTATCTCACCCCATCCCTCCCTCCAACACTCTTGGACCCTATGCAAACCTGTTAAGGTCCAAGGACATTTGAATCTGAAGTTTTGTTTTTTTTTTTGGGAGAGAGGGAGGGTGGGATAGGCGGAAGTAAGAACCACCAAAAGATTTTAAAGGGTGCATGTCTATGGAGTAAGCTGGTCCTTCAACACATCCAGTGAAGCCATTATACATATTACCTTTAACAGAATCCCTAGTCCCAAGATTGTGACTTCTAGAATACCTGTGATTTCTAGGTCAGCTTAGAACCAATAAAAAACAGAGCTATGAGTCATCATGCCTTACTGATCAAAGCAGAATTATAATGACCCTGAGAACCTGCAAGTGAGGGTGTACAGAGTGGTCTTCTATATACACTATT